CCAAACACCCCTTTGATTCATCTGAGTCTTCAGCTTCCAATTGTGACCCTTTGTTTCTGTGTCCCATCTCTGGAACATCCTGTCTCTGTCCACCATATCTATTCCACGCAGCATTTTGCATGTCGTTTTCATGTCTCGCCTCACTCTCCTGTCCTCCAGTGTCTTCAGACCGATTTCCCTTAACCTTTCTTCGTACGACATTTCCCTTAGCTCTGGAACCAACCTTGTTGCAAACCTTTGCACTTTCTGCAATTTCTTGACGTGTTTCACCAGGTGTGGGTTCCAAACTGGTGCTGCGTACTCCAGTATGGGCCAGACGTACACAGTGCATAAAGTCTTGAACGATTCCTTACTGAGGTACCGGAACGCTTTTCCCAGGTTTGCCAGGCGCCCATATGCTGCAGCAGTTATCTGGTTAATGTGTGCTTCTGGCAACGTACTCAGTATTATACTCACTCCTAGATCTTTCTCCTTGAGTGAGGTCTGCAGTCTTTGGCCTCCTAGCCTATACTCTGTCTGCGGTTTTCTTTGCCCTTCTCCGATCTTCATGACTTTACATTTGGCGGGATTAAATTCTAGGAGCCAGTTGCTGGACCACGCATCCAGCCTGTCTAGGTCTCTTTGTAGACCTGTCTGGTCCGCATCTGATTTAATTCTCATTAGCTTCACATCATCTGCAGACAGGGGCACTTCTGAGTCTATCCCTTCCGACATGTCGTTCATACATACCAAGAATAGCTCTGGTCCCAGGACTGACCCCAGTGGGACCCCGCTCGTCACAGGCGCCAACTGTGATACCTCATCACGGACCATGACTCGCTGTTGCCTCCCTGTTAGGTATTCTCTGATCCATTGCAGTGCCCTTCCTGTTATATGTGCCTGATCCTCTAGCTTCTGTACTAATCTCTTGTGGGAAACTGTGTCGAAGGCCTTCTTGCAGTCCAAGAAAATACAATCAACCCACCCCTCTCATTTCTTACTTCAGTTACCTTGTCATAAAACTCTAGGGTTGTGACACAGGATTTGCCTTCCATGAATCTGTGCTGGCTGTCGTTTATAATCTTGTTCCGCTCCAGGTGCTCCACCACTCCAACACTATTCACGTCAGTGTGTGTGTGTGTGTGTGTGTGTGTGTGTGTGTGTGTGTGTGTGTGTGTGTGTGTGTGTTTGTGTGTCCACAAAAGAACGCCAGAGATTTTAATTAATCCCTCCTTCAGTCCCTCAGCGAGATCCCTGAGCCTCGTTGTTTCAGCATCTGCTTGTGGTTACCTGTTGTGGTTTCAAGAGGTGAATTCTGCTTGTGTTGTCCAGTCTTTAACAAGTACATCATATATATGGTTGTAACACTTACTCTTCCATCCCATACCACTGTTTTTCCACTTTCCTACTTTTATTTAACCACTTTTCTGCCATTATTTACGAAGAAAACTTCCCGGTGACCTTTCAGTATCTCCTACTCTTTTTTTTTAAGTCTCAGCATTCAGCTTGGTCTCTTGTTAACCAAGTTGATGGTGCAACCACATTTTTCTATTTCTTTTCGTATATTTTAAGGTTTTAATGTAATTATCATAGCTTCTCCTGTCACCCAGCAAGGTCATTTTAAGCGTATTCCGTCTTCACAACGAGTAGGTCAGTGGGCAGTGCAGTCAGTCCATAACCGAAAGTACCCGGATCCGATTCTCGGGAGGCTCAAGATATATTTGCAAGACTAGTTACACCTGCAGCTTCTCTCAACCTAGCAGTTAACACACACCTAGGTATGAGGGTCACTCTCTAGGGAAACTAAATGGAAAAAAATTACTTACAACTTGACTTCACTGCGTTATCTTACGCAGATAAATCTGTGAAGGGAACGAATGGGAGAGGGAAATAAATGAAGGGGATTTAATTACCGTACTGAAAGTATATAACCAAAACAGGACTCGCAGCAGTGGCTTCAAGCTGAATAAATTTAGATTTAGAAAGGATTCAGGGAAGTACTGGTATGACACTAGTTACTGATGAATGAAACTTGTAGGTACTATCAATAAAGCGAGAACTTTGGGTAGCATTTTATATATATATATATATATATATATATATATATATATAATATATATATATATATATATATATATATATATATATATATATATATATATATGTCGTGCCGAATAGGCAGAACTTGCGATCTTGGCTTAAATAGGAACGTTCATCTTGCCATATAAGACAAGTGAAAATTTTTTATGCAATAATTTCTCCAAAATCATTCTGAACCTAACGATAAAAATATATTTCACTGTGTTTGTTTAGTATTAAATTATTGTAAACAACTCTAAAATATATTTAGTTGGGTTAAGCTAAAATAAATTGCGCTTGTTGTAATAAGGTTAGGTAAGTTTTCTAAGTTCCTTCTTGTGCAAAATTAAAATTTTTACATCAACATTAATGAAAAAATATATCTTTAAACGATAAAGAAAATTTTAGAAAGAACTTAATTTTAAATGAGTTCTTGCTAATTGACCAGTTTTACATATTCGCACGACATAAATTATAAATTATATTATATATAAAAATATATATATATATATATATATAAAGAATAAATATATAATATATATATTAATATATTTAATATATATATAATATAAATATTATATATATAATATAATATATGATATATAATTATATATAATATAATATATATATATATATATATATATATATATATATATATATTATATATATATATATATATATAATGATACCCAAAGTATAATGCAATCCTTTATTGACTACGTTTTGCCCACACATTGGGCTTTATCAAGTCACGGATCTATTTATGACTTGATAAATCCCACTGCAGTCAATGATGGTTCGCATTATTCTGCATTTGTATCTATATTTTTCCATCGTGTCCGTATTTTATACCATTTATCTCCATCCTCTCTTCTTATGTAATTAATAAGCCTCCTCATACCTGCGCAGGTATCGGTGTAGGTATGACTCGAGACTCGTCAACACTGATGGTGGGACAGTACTTCAAGAGACGCCGTGAGTTCGTAGAAATCATCGTTGTGAGCGGAAGCGGACTGGGAATCTCCGTCATGTCAGTCTTCATCCGCGGAGCGATCGAGTGAGTATCACCTCTCTTACCTAACAATCACCTCTCTTGTTATATTGTTGATGGTATACAATACTTCATGCTAATAAAATTGATAAATTATTATTATTAATAATTAGACAAATGTGAATGACGGACTTGCGCAACATTTGGAAATCTTTATTGAGAGAACGCTTCGCCAGCCAGTGGCTTCATCAGTCCAGTACAAAAATAGTGAAGAACAGAAGGAGATTGGGGTAATCAATCCCTCAGTTTGGAGTCGATGTAATCAGTCCATCATGACTGATGGACTGATTACATCGACTCCAGACTGAGGGACTGATTAACCCAATCTCCCTTTTGATCTTCACTATTCTTCTTAGTACTGGACTTACGAAGCCACTGCGTGGCTAAACGTCTCCACAGTAAAGATACCTAAGTGTTACACACGTGTCTAATTCTATCACCCCGGTGTTACACATATGTCTTAGCTTAAATTTCTGCTTACGTTTTCCAGAGATTAACACTGTTGGATAAACAGTGTCCGTACCCTGCCCAGGGAGGATAACCTCGGGTAGAGAATGTCCATTTTTGGACATACCGTAACACACAGTATCAGATGGGCAGATGAATAAGACACATATGCAACACTTGCTTATCTTTACTGTGGAGACGCATCGCCAGCCAGTGGCTGCATCACTCCAGTTCAGAGACTGGTGCAGTATTGGATGGAAGGAACACATTTAGCGCTTTAGGAGAAGAGAGAAGGGGGTGAATAGAGAAGATTCTTCCCTTTTCGTTTCGTCCTTAAATTTTCCCTTTCTTCTTAACCCATTCCTTCTACTTCCGCCCTTCTTTAACCATTTCCTTCTGTTCTATGCTCTCTGCCTTCTTTAGCCTTGTCTCTGTCTCTCTCTCTCTCTCTCTCTCTCTCTCTCTCTCTCTCAAAGGTTAGGGTAAAAGAAAATATAATGAACGGGGAGGGGATAGAGAAGGAAATAAATTAGTGGTAGGCAGAAGTTGAAGAAATGATAGAGAGAAATGCGAAGTAATAAAGATGAGAAAGTGAGGGAAAACTTTTCTTGATCACGTATACTCTGTTTGGAACGAGGGGGAGAGAGAGAGAGAGAGAGAGAGAGAGAGAGAGAGAGAAGAGAGAGAGAGAGAGAGAGAGAGAGGAGAGAGAGAGAGAGAGAGGAGAGAGAGAGAGAGAGAGGGAGGGAGGGAGGGAGGTAGTAGTTTGGAAACTTCAAAACTAAAATATTGAAATCAATATCACGGAACTAGCTAAACCTCTCTCTTTTTCCACGTCTCTTTCCCTCTCTCTTTTCCCCCTTCCTCTCTTCCTTCCACTTTTCAGTTCACTCCTCCATTGTTTAGAGATTAAACCCATCTCCATTTCATTGAACTTTTCTGATAAATTATATTTCAAAATTATTTCTCATTAGTGTTAATTATACGACTCTTCCAGCGTTTTAGAGACACTTTTAAGATCTGTTGTTGGTCCAGTGCCAAAAACATCTGTAAGAGAGAGAGAGAGAGAGAGAGAGAGAGAGTGGAGGGGGAGGCTTGGTATCCTAAAACATGTCAGACTTGGCACCTTAAAACACGCCAAGCTTGGTACCAGAAAATACTCCATACAAAGTACCCTTAAATACTCTGTAGAAAGTGCCCTAAAATACTCTAGATCCGCTGCCTTGTGTCATGCCCGTAACAGGTTTTGAGAGATCTGATCTTCCACCTGACTGAGTCAGGCTCAGGCTGTCAGGTCAGGCCTCAGCTGGGTCGGTCAGGCTCAGGCTAATCGCTCAGGCTGGTCGATCTAGGGCTCCGCTGGGTTCAGGTTGGAGGCTCCAGGCTGCTGCTGGGTCAGGTCAGCTCAGGCCAGCCTTCAGGCTGGTCAGGTCTGACTCCGGCTGGGGCAGGGTCAGGCTCAGCTGGGTCAGTCAGGCTCATTAGTTGGGGTCAGTTATGCTCAGGCTGGGTCAGGTCAGGCTCAGGGCTGGGTCAGGTCAGCTCAAGCTGGTCAGTCAGGCTCAGTTCTGGGTCAGGTCAGGCTCATGCTGGGTCAGTCAGGCTCAAGCTGGGTCAGGTTAGGCTCAGGCTGGGTCAGGTCAGGCTCAGCTGGTCTGGTCAGGCCAAGCTGGGTCAGGTCAGGCTAAGGCTGGTCAGGTCAGCTCAGCTGGTCAGGACAGGCTCAAGCTGTGGTCAGGTAGCTCAGGCTGGGTCAGGTCAGGCTCAGGCTGGGTCAGGTCAGGCTCAGGCTGGGTCAGGTCCAGGCTCATGCTGTCCAGGTCAGGGCTCAGGCTGGGTCAGGTCAGGCGCACCCAGGGTCAGGTAGGCTCAGGCTGGGTCAGGTCAGCTCAGGCTGGGTCCAGGTCAGGCTCAAGCTGGGTCAGTCAGGCCTCCAGGCTGGGTCAGGTCAGCTCAAGGCTGGTCAGTCAGGCTCGCTCAGCTGGTCAGGTCAGGCGCAAGCTGGGTCAGGTCAGGCTCAGGCTGGGTCAGGTCAGGCTCAGGCTGGGTCAGGTCAGGCTCAGGCTGGGTCAGGTCAGGCTCAGGCTGGGTCAGGTCAGGCTCAGGCTGGGTCAGGTCAGGCTCAGGCTCAGGCTGGGTCAGGTCAGGCTCAAGCTGGGTTCCAGTCAGGCCTCAGCTGGTCAGGTCAGGCTCAGCTGGGTCAGGTCAGGCTCAGGCTGGGTCAGGTCAGGCTCAGGCTGGGTCAGGTCAGGCTCAAGCTGGGTCAGGTCAGGCTCAGGCTGGGTCAGGTCAGGCTCAGGCTGGGTCAGGTCAGGGCTCAGGCTCAGGCTGGGTCAGTCAGGCTCAGCTGGGTCAGGAGTCAGGCTTCAGGTTGGGTCAGTCAGGCTCAGGCTGGGTCTGTCTGCTCAGGCTCTGGCTGGGCAGGGTCCAGGCCAAGCTGGGTCAGGTCAAGGCTCAGGCCTGGGTCAGGTCAGGCTGCTCAGGCTGGGTCAGGTCAGGCTCAAGCTGGGTCAGGTCAGGCTCAGGCTGGGTCAGGTCAGGCTCAGGCTGGGTCAGGTCAGGCTCGCTCAGCTGGTCAGGTCAGGCTCATCCTGGGTCAGTCAGGCTTCAGGCGGTTCATTCAGGAGGCTCAAGCTTGGGTCAGGTCAGGCGCAGGCTGGTCAGGTCTGGCTCAGGCCGGGTCAGGTCAGGCTCAGGCTGGGTCAGGTCAGTCAGGCTCAGGCTTTGGTCAGGTCAGCTTTACTTGAACTGAAATTTTCGTTCTGCTGTAAATACCTGTACACTTTTATATACGCCTGAGGCTTTCTATTAAATACTCCTTGTTGATCTGGCACCACGAGCCCTGGTCATGGGCTGGGCAGCGGGGGCATTGACCCCCGAAACACCCTCCAAGTATATAACTCCATGTAACCCCGACATAATCATTAAAACTATACCACGGTGAGACTTGAACCCACGTCAGAGTAAGTAAAATTCCAGACTGTGAACGCCGTTATCCAATGACCAGCCGTCGGTTCTGGAGTTTTTACGACCTCTCTGACTGCGGGTTCGAGTCCCACCCGTGATGGTTTGTTTGCAATCGAATCACTACGACTGCGTGAGTCATAATGCAATTAAACCAAGTAGTAAACCCAAAAGGGTCACACAGCGCTGCATGGTGGAATATGCTGAAGAAGGAATATGCGAATGTCAGGGATCAGTGTGGTCCTGCGGTAGAGTCTGTGGTTCACTACCTGAAGGTGAGGCTTCGATTCCCTGGCGGAACGAGACTTAAGATAAGATTTTCTTCAGATTTTTAACCCAGGAGGGTTAGCCACCCAGGATAACCCAAGAAAGTCAGTGCGTTATCGAGGAATGTCTAACTTATTTCCATTGTGGTCCTCAATCTTGTCCCCCAGGATGCGACCCACACCAGTCGACTAACACCCAGGTACCTATTTGCTGCTAGGTGAACAGGACAACAGGTGTAAGGAAACACGTCGAAATGCCGGGAATCGAACCCGGACCCTCCGTGTGTGAACGAGAGCTTTAGCCACCAGACCACTATAGGCAAATCTCCTTACAGCTGCTGCCACTGTTTCCCTAGCAGTAAGTAGCTACTTTTGTGTTTGTATCTACACATCTGTTCCTTCTATTTATCTAACAGTAAGTAGGTTCCTGAGTGTTCATCTTCCAACTGTTGCTCTTGCTTCTCTGTCTATTAAAAGTACCTGGATATTTGTAGACTGTCGTGGGTGGCATCCTGGTGGTAATAATAAACCTTAGAGCTGATTACCAATGAGCTGAGGTAGAGTAGCAAGTGTGATAAATAATTTAGGAATCCGACAAGTTGAAGACTGAGACACTGTGCGACATTTTGGAATCTTTACTGAGGCAACATATCGCCAAGTCATTAACGTTTCCCTCAATATTCTTAAATATTGCACAAGTGTGTCATTCTTCAGAGTAGCAAGTAAACTCTAACTGTAAAACAAATAAATTGAGGGTCCATTATCCTTCATTTCCTCTCGACTTTCCTCGTGGTCGGGACGATACGGCCGAAGTTCCTCAGCCCGAATATGTTTGTGTTCTTTCCACTGCAGGTGTTAAGGTTGGCTTGCCACGAGTTCAGTCCTCAATGACAACTGATTCCGTGGCAAGCCCATGGGTTCAAACCCCAATAACAACCCGTTCCGTGGCAAGCCCATGGGTTCAAATCCCAATGACAACTCGTTCCGTGGCAAGCCCATGGGTTCAAACTCAGGGCAACCTTGGCCCTTGAATTGTGTACAGTCCCTGTGGTTAAGAACTGTCCCGGGAATCCATTTCCCAAAGTTATTGCTGACCCGCCCCCCTTCCCTTTTTGTCTTCTCTCTCTCCTCTTGCATGTAACCTCCACCATTCCTCCTATCAAACCCCTCTTATTCTTCTTGCCTCTCTCTCCATATTTCTCCTTTTTCTCCCTCGTCTTATCGTCTCCGCTCTCCCTGACCAGCTTGGGCCTGAAGGCCTCTTGTATATTCCTTTCTCATGTTCTCTCTACTTCTCCTGTTTTTTTTTTTTTTTCTCATTTTACCGAT